ACAATTCTCTCTATAAAACTATAATAAGGGATAAGTTTTAAGGTCACAAGAAACCACAAAGGATGAACAGAAAGAGAATTGCAGTATCATTTAAATAACAATGTTTACTGCCTCTAGGATTCTATTCTTAGAACCTTGTAAGGAAGTGATTCTTATTTGTCTCTTACACTCTTTAACTACACAACAGCTTGTCAAAGAAACACAAAATCTATATTCCAGAAAGTAATAATTCATCTCAACTAATAGTGAAAATCAGATATCTCCAAAAGCTATGGCTTTTCTTGTCATCAAAAGTGAGGAGGTCTTCATGTTTTGTCACCATGAGAATTCAAGATTATATATTTGTTTCAGAAACTTTACTGGAGCAGATATTATCTTAAAATAATACATACTTCAAAAACACAACAAATATTTGAAATCCATCAATTTGTCGATAACAGTAGGCTTGAAGAAAGTTACTAAAATTAAAAAAAATGCTATTTCCAAAAGATTTTGGAAAAACTATTCCTTCAATTTACAAAGCCAGACACTAGTGTCAAATCCAGTATTACAAGTGACCTCGATAAGACTTCAGAATGCAAAACCTTAGTACCAGTGTTGAATCCATTAATAAAAGTGACCACACAGACTTCAAAATATAAAAATAAGCCTTAGTATGAGCAGATTGCATTTAAATCTCAATTACAAAAGAAAATATAGAATTTACTGTGCTTTTATCAATTAAAAACATCATAACATGACCTCTCACAAGGCATTCTATCTATTGCAGACATATGATCATGAATTTCTTTATAAAACATTAAAATGAGAAAGTTGTAAATATTTAATTGGTTGCTAAAGTTATGTGACAATCTGCAATCATTATAGAAGAACTGCACATAATCTAGAAATCTAGATAGGAGAAATGCATGATGCTTCAGAGACTGGATCTGCATTCATTTTTAGGTAGGAGAGGGTACCAATACTGTTGAATTGACTGGATAAAGCTACTCTCTATCACTTGGCTTGCTCTGCCCTACCTTCAGGTTGATGGTCCTACTTGTTATCACTAGCTTGGTTCTATCCCTGGTTTCAAGTAGAAGGAAAAGGGAATTCACTCTATGGAAACTGTTAGATAAAACTATTCATTGTTACGGGGATAGCTCTGGCTTCAAGTAGAAGGAAAGTGTTTGAACAATTTTGGAGCTCTTGGATAAAGCTATGAAAACAGAAACAGAACTAGGCTGTGAAATGTGGTACAACTTTATTAATTAGAAAATGGTTGAAAGTTCAAAAGAAATTTCCCATCATCGTAAATATCTGACTTAGAATATTATACGTCTGGAAATTATTATGAGAATGGATGTGCACTGTCAGCACAAAGCGGAAACATTCCAAGAACTGGGTTCATGTTCATCAACACAACATATCAGCCCTACTTGCTAAGACACATAACAGACTGATCTGAAAGTACTCAAATGCAGTACATAACACAGAGGGAATATTCCTAAACAACAAGAAAATACATTTACATACACGGACTTCATTAAGTAACAAATATGAGTAAATAATTGTGTGCCAGGATACATACTCATCCAGACACTAATACTACAATATGCTTGACTTCAGGACTTACATAATCCTCAGAATTTTGTCCATTTACATATTCTAACCTGTGATCAGGAACTTTCACTGCAACTTCACTTCTGACAGTTTATGATGTGATATGAGATTTGGATTTTGTTGCCGCAGTTCATGTCACAGTCAGAAGATGGCTCTCACAATATGGTATCAGTGGAGCAGAGTTAAAGCAACATAAAATGTCAATATTTAAAGGCATGATTAAAAAAAATTGTTTGTTTGTCAAAACTGGTGGACTTAGGGTCAGTGTGAAGAATTTCCAGCCAAATCTGAATATATTAAATGAACCATCACTTAGAAAATATTTTTTCTTCTGTTTTCTATTCTAAATATTTATTGTTACTTTGAATTTCAAAACAGTAAACATCAATCTACCATATTCCTGACCTCTGAACACTATGCAGATGGAAAGACAACCACAGCACAAATATTTAAATTTCTAAATGTAATCCAGAAAGTTTCATCATCTTAAATTTTGCAATTCAATGTCATTATCAGCATTCACCTTTAATGTTCACCACATTTCTGTTATTCATTTACAATGTGGTTCTGTCCCATTCAATCCTAGATCTGTCATCAAATACAGTTGGATGACTGTCCTCCTCTTTCTTTCTCTGGCTACCCTTGTTGTACTTTAATTATAATTACATTACAATTCAACACAGACTTCTGGTCACACATAAATCACAGTGATACTCAAACAGCACATTAACCAAGGTTGAATTAATACTGTATTTATGACTATATTTCAATTCTGCAGGGAACACCAGACTGTTCTTTACTAGAACTGATTCTGCAGAATGTTTCAATTGAATCACTATGGGGTGCATGTCCTTGTTACAGTTCCAACAAAGCACAATTCTGAGTTTGTTAGATAGTATTAAGCATAATAAATAGTATAAATAATATAATGAAGTAATGGTGCAACTCACAGAGCTCAGCAACATAAGTAACATATTCTAAGAAAACGAAATGCTGCATTATTGTTTAACAAGCATAATGACTATTGGCAATTCAACAGAAAGTTCGTCTGCTGTATAAACAATATTATTGTTAAGATTCAACACAGTTTAATCATAATATTTAAATTTAAATGCCAGCACAATGGAAAACAAAGGCAAGGCTGTAATAATACAAGCATACATAGCAGGAAGAGCTGGCATGACTCAGTCAGTATAATGACTAAAATAGGGGCTGGGTGACTGGACAATCAGGGTTCAGTTCCTGGTGGGAGCAAAGATTTTTCTCTTCACCATCATATTCAGCCCAGCTTTGGGGACCATCCAGTATGTCTATTGGGTACCAGCAAATTTTTGCTCAGGGAGGGACAAAGTGGCTGGGGCCTGAAGCCAAACAAGTACTGAGGTTATGAATCCATAGAGTTATGCTTCTACCTCACACCCTAGTGTTTTCATGATGTGATGCTTAATAAATAAATAAAAAAAAAAAAAATGGAGATAACTTTAGATTCTTATACATAGGGAAAATGTGTGCCTCCTGGGCAATGCAGTGATGTATTACAGCTAGCACAAGTGACTCCCCCCAGGCAAATATACATACACTGATTTTCCTGTGTATAAATTACCTAAAAAATCTTATATGCTTACAGATTCCCACAACATTTTGAACTGGTGAAAGACCTACTTTTCTTAGTTACTGAATGTACATAGGGTCAGTGATGTTAGGCAGTTTGACATACATACAGCTGAGCTGTTAGTACCTGTTCCTAGCTCTTTTGAGGTTGAAAGTACTATTGCAAAATTGAAACAGTATAAATCGCCAGGTAGTGATCAAATTCCGGCAGAACTTATTCAAGCGGGAGGCGAAATATTACATTCTAAGATCAATAAGCTAATTAATTCTATTTGGAATAAGGAAAAATTGCCTGATCAGTGGAAGGAGTCTACTATCATGCCAGTTCACAAGGAGGGTGATAAAACTGACTGTAGTAATTATTGTGGAATATCACTGCTATCAATTTCATACAAAATTACATCCAGCATTCTTCTCTCAAGGTAATGTCCAATTTAATTCAGAATCATCATCATACAATTTTCTGATAGCAACCACATACAACTAAGTGAAAAATAAAAGCATGTTTTCCTGGTGAAATGATTTTGAGGGAATAGCATGAAATGTCTGGGAACTGGGGCCAGTATGGTAGGGTGACAGTGTGTGGCATTTACACCTCACATATAAACAAAAAATAACAAAATACACAATACAATCAGAATAAGAAAGTGTTTGAATATCACTGCTGCAATATTCTTCTAGAACATATGTACATATGATTTTCACATGTTTAATAAACAAATGACATAACAATCATGTAACTACTGACTGGTGTAATAAATAATCTTCTGGCAATAAATAAAAACACAAATTCTATACTCAATCTGTACATAATGAATTAATTTACATATATAGATATGTAAGTTCTAATATTTCAAGTTCTGAGACAAGGTCAGGTATGTAGTATATCTTCATAACACACCCACTACAATGCCTACATAATTGCACAATTTAAGATACAGCTTCTCTTCAAAGATGAGAAGTATATCGATGACGTATGTTAAAAAATATCACAGTATTGTTAATGCAGTGTTCTCTGTACAAAGTGCATAAAACAAGAGCATAAAGGAGAGTTCACATTCTGTAAGACATCAATTCCAGTATGAAATCTATTTCAAACATTTGTTGAGAGAGTCTACCAAAAAGAATGCCGGGATGTCAGGCATCTGTATAAATTAAAGCTATCCCTGTAACAGGCCATGAAGGCCCATAGGGTCGTGAGACGTCAAGGCTCCCACATTTTCTACATATCAGATGGCGGTGAGGTTGTCAGCTTATGCACCAGCTGCCCTTTACTCCCAGGAAGATTCCTAGTACTCATTTCTCTTAGAGGCTGAGTCGGCCCCAGGGAAATAGTGTGGCTGGAAGGATTAGGTAAACTGAAAATCCAATGACCTCATCATGAATCAAATCTGTAACCTTCCAGCTTGTAGCACAGCATCTCAATAATGCATTCCCCTCAGGCAGTATTTTATTCATCAAATGAAACAGTTACTTTTACATGAAAATGGAAAATTGTTATGTGTTAAACCCTTCACAGTGAGCACCATCTCCCTCTCTGCAGACATCCCACCTATAACACATCTGTTTTTTATGCTATACAGCATACATTGTACAGCCAAGATAGCACAGTTGGCATAGCTACTGGCTACTTGCTGAATGACCGAAAGGGAGAAATTCCGAGTCCTGGTGGGGTCAAGAATCTTCACTTCTCCATGTTGTCCAGACTGGGTCTAGGGTCCATTGAACCTCCTATCCAATGGGTACCGGGAGCTCTTTCCCCAGCAGTACAGGGGCCAAGGCATGAAGCTGACCACTCCTCCATATAGTGCTTAATTAAGTGTAGGGACAACTTTATCTTCTTACAGGATACATTATACTCACTGCACAGAATACGTAATCAAAGCTGCTGTCTGTTAACTATAGTGGAGATGCACATGCAACTTGTGCAATGACACTGAGTTTACAATTAGACTGCAAGTATCAACATCATTATATCTGTTCTTGTTCTTGAGTTGCAGCTGTTTGAAATTCCAGCATTCTTTTTGGCAGACCCTATATGATGCATATTTTACGAAATCATTTACAACTCTATGCCACAGAAATTATGTCTCCATGTACTGTAATCTTTTTACTATTGATTAACTCTGTCAAAATTTGTATAGTGTCTGCAATAAACTTATATCAAATGAAAATACGGAATTGCAAAGAAGGTATTTGGAAAATATGCTTACTCAAAAATGGATTTATACCTTGCAAACCTTGTCAGCAAAAGTATCAACATTACTGTATAATGAACATACTGGAGTTTCTAAAATTAATTTTTATACATAAATAATTTTCAAAAGCTGTTTTGTCTCAGAATTTGAGTCTCTTACACATCCTTGAACATATCTTTAAAACAGTACTCAAAAAATGGTCAACTTTAAAGATTTAAAATATGTGCACCAATTTTATCTCCTTTTCTTTTTCAACCTGCGACTTTTCTTGTTTGCTCCTTGTAATGCAGTGATATTTGTGGCCTCTCCATTGTCTGCCAGTTCATCGTCATTGCCATTATTTTCTTCATTCAACTGAGAACAGTCCTCCTCAATACCTGCAGTTGCATCATTAGTTTCTGATATGGCAGCTGTTCTCAGAGATTCACTGGTTATGGCCACCTTGCAATTTTGATCACTACTTTGAGACTTTCTTGAATCCACAGCCATTTTATCCTCGCCTTCATCACTATAATCATCTACATCCTCTGGCCCTTTAAGAGTTGCAAAACCACTGCAAATATCTCTATCTGAAATTTCCTCAGTCTGTGAGTGATCTGGGAAAACTTTGGCGACATCACTCCAAGACCGCTGGGGAGAAATTCTCGACTCTTCAAGATTCAACAAAACAGTTTCTGAACTCGGTGGGACCACAACTTCTTTCACTGGGTACTTGTTTATGTTCGAGGATGACACTATGCTGCTCCATGACAGCACAGGAGAAGCAAAGACATCATCAAGTGTCGATCTGAACATGGGGTGCTTCTGCCTGCTTTGATCATTGTCTGTTTCGAGCTCAGTGCTCCCCCCACAGAATTTCTTCTCAGACACCTCTCTTGTTTGACTGCTAGTTCTTCCTTCTGTAATGGGCTGAACAAATTGTGAACTCTGAGTTCCTTCCTCAGATTTTTTAGAAAGTGATTCAAAATTTGAATTTCTTACAGCATCATGTGAAGTATTCTTTCCAGTTCCAAAGTGATGTTCATTCAATCTTTCATGTAACAATAAAGAACATAACTTCAGGGGCTCAATTTTTGGAACTGAAACCAACAAGTTGCCCAATTTATCTGAATTTCTGTTATCTCCAGAATCTGGAATGGCAATCAATTCATTATCTTCTATCAACAAAGACCGTGAATCTTTCCTTTTCTCATTTGTTTTCTTAATTACACCATGGGCTCCACTGGGGCAAAGATCATCAAATTCAACCAATTTTGGTGTTCTTCCTTTATCATTCTCTGTGCCCAGGGCATCTGAAGTGGAAACAAGATCCATCAGCATTGCCTGTGAAACAGAGATGCTTTCATCTTTCCTCTCCCCTTCATGATATTTGTGATGTTTGTCCCCAGTAGATAGCTTCATACTCTCAGCAGAGCCACTAGTAATGCTTGACTCTTTCTTCTTTGTGTTCTGTTTGGAACATTTTGTTTCTGAGTGTCTTACTTCATCCAAATTGAAGGTTCTTTCACAGAATGTATCTTCATCAGATCTACACATTTTCCCCCTTTTTAAGCTTCCTTGACCACTTGGGTCATCTGTAAATATGCCTTTAGCTAGAAATGATTTAGGCTTACAACTTGCATTATTCCCATCCTTAATTTTTGATGGTGCTTGTAGTTTTGATTTTACCACTTTTACCTGAGCCTCTTTGTTACTTTTACCACCTACATCTTCTACTTGAGTATCACTTGTTTTTGCAGGCAAGCTATTTTGGGGTTTGAACTGTGAGTCAATTCCCTGTGCTCTTCTCTTCTCCCATACACTTGCAGACAAAGCAAAAAGCCCATTCTCCAAAGTAAGAGTTCTCGAAGGCACCGTCATTTCTTTGTGTTCTGTCTCTCCTACGGTAACATTATGCTCTTTTTTGCCTTCCTCTTTAGGCCACTTGCTATCATCCTTTCTTTCATCCTGAAGTTTGTTACTATATCTTTTAGATGAAGCACTTCGCGTATTTTCTTTACCTTTCTTCTCTGTTCTAAATTCTGCTTCTTTGCTCTCACTCGCTGATGGCTCATACCCCTTGCACTGTGAAAAGCACGTGGGCTTTGACACTGCTGGCCACCTAACAGTGTCATCCAAAGAGGGAGGATCTTGCCTGCTGCACCCATGAAGTGGTTTCACCCCACTCTCCTCCTCTGCAGATGACTCACATTTACTTGGTGTAGTCATAGTCAAATCTGAAGCCAGTGAAGCAGCCGCTTCCTCAGAAGGGACAGACACAGTAATAACAGTTCCCACTGGGTTCACGACTTTTTGGATGGGATTCGAACTCCTCTTCCCTAGCTGAGCACCATGTTGCATTTCAACAATCACTCTTCTTCCTTAAAAAAAAAGAAAAAGCCAGAGGCAGGTTTTTTTTCTGTGTGTACATTAATGTAAGAAAGAACAAAAAATAAAACTTTTGGTGTTATGTGGGACAGATTCATGACGCATTCACCTTATGATGATGTCACTTCAAGTTGAGCAATCACCAATCATGTCTCTGAATTCAAGTGTTAGTGAAAAAGGAACAAACAGCAAAATATTTAATTTTGGGGCATGTCATTCACATCCAAACATGAACCGGACAAATGCACTTAGAGTGTGAATTTTGATTTCTCAAACGCTGACTCTGGCTAAATCTTGTCCTTTCTCTGTTTTACATTAATAACTAATATTTATATTAAATTGTGACTCTATTTAGCCAGTCTGCATTGCAATGAAAGCTCTGGCCCTCTCAAATAATTGAATATTTCACACTTTACTTATACACTGTTCCCTCCATACAATGAGTCAAATATGTTAAGGAAAATTAATGCTTAGCTCTGACTTATGATTTAGGTGGTTGACTGAATATAAATACTCAACCATAAAAATTGACAATACCTTTAAATCTTGCTGGATATGAGGTTCTCAGTCTTGACTATGAAGAATTCTATCCTTCTGAACATAACATGGCATAGACTAATGAGGTGACCAATGTTTTGGAGAAACATACTGCATCAATCTTCAGCATAAAAAAATAAACCAAGTAAGAAACTAGCATGAAGCAGGCAGCTATGCTTGCTGCTTGCTTCAGGCTGACTTCCTGCTCGACTTATTCTTGAATCCTGAAGATGGAGGCATTATGTTCCTCCAAACATCAGTTCACTTTTAGCATCCAGCATTCCATCCCAGAAGACAAAACTCTTCACATTCAAATCTTCTTTAACGCTATATTAACGTTACAAACATAGTAAGCCCACAGTGTTCATGCAATTACACACTAAGAAACATCAGATGAATATCAAGTGTACATTCTGAAAAATGTGTACTTTGAAATCCAGATAATGCTAAAATAAGCAGTTAACTGCTCTGAAAATAAAAGAATTAAAAAATTGTGTACACAACCCCATCAAAGCAAAATATGCCTATATTTTTGGAAAGCAAAATTTAGGGAGAGGTAAGAGCTACTTAAACTGAACAATAACAACAGTGCACATTTTCCATAAAAAAAGGAAACTAAAAACTAACAATGAAGTGAAACAATTGCATCATGGAAACAGAGAGATACCACTTATTTCCAAAAACTTTGCTACTAATGTTACCACAACAACTACTATTCACACCATGCACAAAAATCTGCAAACTTAAGGTCACCACAGAACAATCCTAAATAGGACAAATTACTGCTTCAGCCTTCACTCAGTGTTTGTGAAAGTGTCCTGATACCTTCTTTAGGAATTCAAACATATACATCAAAGAATTTATTACATTTTCCTACTCCTAAGTTACAGACAAAAGAATAACTGAAACTGTTTGGAATAAACAGGGCTGTAGCACCAAAACAGTGTTGCTGCACACACAGCAATCTTCTTCCTTATCTTTGTTCATGAAGCATGTCTAACCCAAAACAGATCATAAATGTGTAAGTTCTTGGAAAAATTTATGACAATGTCCCCCAAATGTTCTAATTCTATACAATAATGCCAGCAAATATTCACAAAATAACAATTAGACAATTTTGTGATCCATCTTTTGTGCATAATTTCTATTTTCAGAGATTCTTAATATGTTAAATTTGCCAGATAAAAATTTGAAGTATCACAAAAAACGTTCCTTATGAAATATGTAGATATTGTGGTATGTAAGCCTGTTGCTAGACTACAACCATGAAATAAACAACTAGAAAACGGCCGTTACTATACAACAGCCTGTAAACTGCAACAGAGTAGCTGTTTTTCTGTGTGGTCCATGCCAAGATGTTATAAGCAGGACAGTTAGTGAAAGTCAGTCAGTGAAGTGAAGTGAAGAGTAGTTGGCTGGTGAGTGACTGAATTAGTCAAGTCAGTTAATGAGTGAGTTAAAGAACTGCAGAGGTTCAGTCACTGTGAGCTGTTGCTGTGAGAAGCTGGTAATTGAGGCCGGGGATAGTTCAGGAACCCAGAGGAAAAGGAATGTCCATCACTGGAAGCTGCTACTGACCAATAGCTAGTGAAGACATGACTGTGGACACTAGTGTGTGTATGTAAGAGTCAACTGTAAAGTGTAGTCATATGCGGTATCAAAGAGTCCAATAAACCCAACCATCAATCCAAATCTTGTGAACAGTCACACCACCACATGACACTATATTAATAAATTATCTCCATACAAAACTTCACAGGTATAGCTAAAATGTTCATCAGTTTTCACTATCAAATCAGAAGGCTAAATCCAGATAATATGTGATTATTATACTTTCCTTTAGATAAAAGTACTAAAGAAATATAAACATTTTTGGGAACCCTATATTGTCATGCTAATGCTGCTCCTACCTAAGAAGATATTATGCTGCACTTTTAGGGGAATTATATTATTCCCTTCTTATTTATCTTTTTAAGAGCAAATTAATCCCTACAGTCCTTCTGACTGTATAGTGATGTTATTTTTAATGGCAAGGAAAAAATACAAGTACAAAGGTATGACTTCCTCTAGCGATACCACACACATGAAAAGCCATCAACTGATATTTTCCTTAGTTTTGAAATGAGGAAAGGGACATAAAAACATTACTTATTGTTGTACTAATTTCCACACTTGAATCAGACCATAGGAACAGAATTCTAACCTGCATATGTGTGAAAGACAAGGTGAGCGTGTGTGATGGGCTCCCATATTCCTCTACATGAAACTGCCAGCTCAACTGCTGCTTTTACCTGATATGGTTTGTGCTACATTATGAGGTATGATCAATAATTTCCCAACTGAATTTGTAGCTTATACTTACCACATTTAGTAGTTACACCATGCTGTCCCCTTCATAACAGTTCCTTTGGGATCTGATACAGCAAGTTCAATGAGTCTGCCATTCTTGGAAGCTTCTATGGGTAGTCCTCTGTTCTGAACTCCATAAGTGAAGTCAACAATTTTTCTTTCTTTGTGATGATGTCATCAAATCTCTTCCCCTTAAGTAATAATCTCAGGTATTGGAAAAACAAAACACACTGGGGGAGGTTGGAGGTCAATAGTCATGTGGCTTTTGGACATAAATTCCTTCACAGTGGGCAGGAGCAGTGTCATGATGGAAGATCAATTTCTAGTGTGTCACTTTTCATGATGTTTTCACCACACATATTCCCATAGATCTTCTATATAGAAATGTTGCTTTGCAGTTCTTTCCTGTGGGATGAGCTACTGATGCAACGATACAATGTCAAAACACAAGAAACAAATGCTCAGATCTGAACTTAAGATAGAGCTCAGTGTTGGGAGCTCTGCTCATTGTTTTCTCCATAAAAAACACATTTCTGACATAGCAAAGATTTCTGTTGCAGTTTTTTCTAGTCTGAAACAGAACTTGATGCACATGTGCTGTTCTTGTCTCATATTGCAGGGGGGGGGAGAGGGGAACACGAACAGCAATAAAAACAATCTTACTTTACAACATGTTACATATGAATTAAACATACCATGATTTTGAAACTAACACCACATGATTCAGCAGTGTTAGTCCATCATCTAGCAGAGGAATTGTATAATAACTACAGGTTTGCTTGCAGCCAGAGCAGAAATTTTTGATCACACCTCATACTAAGATTTTTAAGATGTAGCATCCCACCACATATATTTTTGTGTTATACTGTTTATTCACTAAATTTATAATATCATAATAAAGTCACATATGATGACCAATTCCCATTTTATGCACATAATCTGCTGTGTTCTTATTAAGGCTTATTACACAAAGACATCAGAATGCTCTACGTTTAAAAGCATTTCCTCTGGTACACAAGTGCAATAACAATCAACAATAATGAAATATATTTCTATCTTCTGCTATTTCTCTTTATTATTGCATTATACTATCTCGTAATACTTACTTCTGCACATACAAGGTGTGGCAATAAAGAAACCGGATTCATGCTCTAACCCTTTATTAAAAAAAATCAGACAGTCGAAATGTTATCCCCTTCAATGTAGTCCCCTCCCCGATCCCTACACCGCTCCATGCGAATTTTCCACTGTTGGAAGCAGTGCTGCAGGTCATCTTGTGTTATGCTCTTCAAGAGTTGCGTCGCTTTTGCTTTCACTGCATCCACGGACTCGAACCTGGTCCCTTTCAGCGCAGACTTGATTTTTGGGAAGAG